GCAGCGCGTCACCTCAGCTCCCCTCACGGTGCAGCGCGTCACCTCAGCTCCCCTCACGGTGCAGCGCGTCACCTCAGCTCCCCACACGGCAGCGCATCACCTCAGCTCCCCTCACAGTGCAGTGCGTCACCTCAGCTCCCCTCGCGGCAGCGCGTCACCTCAGCTCCCCTCGCGGCAGCGCGTCACCTCAGCTCCCCTCACGGTGCAGTGCGTCACCCTCAGCTCCCCTCACGGCAGCGCGTCACCCTCAGCTCCCCTCACAGTGCAGTGCGTCACCTCAGCTCCCCTCACGGTGCAGTGCGTCGCCCTCAGCTCCCCTCACGGCAGCGCGTCACCTCAGCTCCCCTCACAATGCAGCGCGTCACCTCAGCTCCCCTCACGGTGCAGTGCGTCACCCTCAGCTCCCCTCACGGTGCAGTGCATCACCTCAGCTCCCCTCACGGTGCAGTGCGTCAGCTCAGCTCCCCTCACGACAGCGCATCACCTCAGCTCCCCTCACAGTGCAGTGCGTCAGCTTAGCTTATTTTAAGGGTCATTGTTTGAAGAAGCGATAATATAGAATCACATGAGGAACCACATCTCACTTTCAGATACGATGGTGGACGGAGGTGCTTGAGAAGAGCCAGGCAGGACTCTTGCTGACATTCTGGCACAGAGGTGCAGCTTCCTTGGGAATGACCAAGGACTATTATCCCTGAGTGAATCTGCACAGTCTGACCCTTTGTTTTCTCTGACACTGTGAACCGTCTCTTTACAGCACCTCTGCTGGCACCGAGTCCACCCCAAGAAAGCCATTTGTCCCACCCAGTCCTCCAGAAACATGGGTGATGACACACTCTGGAAGCAATGAGCAGAGCTGTTCATCTTCTTCCACAAAAAGGGGAGGAACAAACAAGACTGAGGGCCAAGACACACAAGGAAATTCCTGGACAGTGTTTTCTTCCCTAAACCAGCACTCAATTTTGCAGTTCCACTGCTTTCTTAGATCTTTTATTCACACACATGCCACGCTTGAGATTCAGACAAGAATATTAAAATATAATCACAAACTTTAAGTCATCCACAGCATCTCTGTATACCCAGTAAACGGAGGTGACAATGTGAAAATCTAGAATCTCTCAAGTTTCAGAAGAACTACAACAAAATATCAAAATCAGTAGAAAACGTCTTAGGGTTCTGGCCTCAGTAACAAAAAATTCAAATTGGTTCCCTAACTTTTCTTAAAGGTGAAATATGTGGACCCTGAGCAGAAAAAGAAGCCTGCTTCTTTGGAGAGCCCCTTTATGTGGGAGCTACATAACCTCTTCAGTGCACAGTCGCAAGCTTCTTTTCTGTCAGGATCAGCAAATAACCTACGTAAAAAATAGTGTTCATACATAAACCGTGCAGCCAACCTTTCTGAAGAAGCATTTGCAATCCTACCAGTTCTGTACCTCCCTCCATTCAATGGCACAACAAACGGAGAACACTGAGATTTTAAATCAGCCAACCTACAAGAGCGCAACAACACTGCCTTATGGTTGTGAAGGTTTAATCACTTAGAACACAAAAGGGTTGATATTCAACATAAAAATGTATCTAATAAACTTCTAAAACGTATAGTAAAAAGAATAAATTCATATTTAATAGGAAACACTTCATTACAAAACTTTTCTTTCTTGGCACACCTTAAAAGCAGGCTTACATTAATGTATACAACACGAAACCAGATATAGAGAAAAACATACTTCAATTCTTCAACACCAAACTCACCCGTCTTGCTTTGCTCTGGTATTTAATAGCTTTTTTTGTTTCTTCTTTAGCATGTTCTACGTAGTCTGTGGCATTCATAACGTTTTTTTCTATGTTGTTGATCATTTCACCCTTAAAACACAAAGTTTCAAATTCAGAAGACAGTTTCAAATGACTTGATCAGGTATCTGAAGATAACCACAAAACATCAGTGAAGTTGTCACACAGACATGAAGTGTATGTCATGGACACTGAATATGTCTATTTTCACATTTACAGAGCAGTAAAGATGGACATGCTACACATGGGCCAATATAAATCACTCCGAATTCAAGGTATATTGGAAAAGAACTACTAAGGGTGGGCTGCGATGCTGATATGAGTCGTATCAATTAGACGCTGAGCCACGCTTTAACGTGCAACCACTCTCCTCCAAGGCAAGCACAGTGAAGGGAAGGAAGCTCGCTGCAGGTTCAGCTAACATTTCACCAGTATGTACAAACACACAATATACAACAAATGGCATCTTTTCTAATGAGGAGAGAACTGTCGCTACTTCTTTAAAATGTCAGTAAACGAAATGTGGCTTATGTGTGACACAGAGTTAACTACAATAATGCCCCAAAACATAAATGGAGGTAACCCCGGTGAAACGTTAGGGAGCAGACGTTACCTGGTTTTCTGTCCATGGCAGACACACTGTGCAGCAGTGAACAGTAAGACATTGAAGAGTGACAGACAATCAAGGAAATCATTCACAAATGTAAACCTATTGCTAAGTTTCAACTATACAAGTATTTTGAATTAGAGGAGCCAATATAAGACCACACTAAAGCTTCTAAAAGTAAGTCATGAAACAAAACTAAGTAGACAGCGATTTTTCTAATGGAGCCTAAAGTAATCCACCAGGATAGAACAACTACAATGAAGGTCTAAGACACTGTAAAATCTTTGGTAACTACAAGCAGAGTCTAAGATTCCGACTGTCTAACTGGTCTCCTTTGGAATACTCCCTGAAAAGAAGATGGTGGCAGTCAAACCCCCTCTCCCACTGCTCACATCCTGTATGGCAGTGGGCCCACCCCAAAAGGAGTCAAGTTGCCCCATCCCACCTCCATGTGGCTGCTAGTTTCTTCTAGAAAATGCATGGCATCTAAATTTCTCACACACTTTCGTGAGTAAGTTCCTCAAAATAAACAGAGCTCTTCAAAGTTGGTGATTCATGCCAAGAATGAGTCCTGTGCCAACGGCTGCCCGACATGCAGTCCTATCAGCACGCCCTCACTTCAGAGGGACCAGTATCCTGCCACCAACTATTTGCTTCCGGTGTTTTGGCATCACACTGAACATGACAATCAATTCTTGAATTTTGAGATTGGAGCCAAAACAAAGGCTTTCCCAGGTCTGAGGGAGTCAGCTCTGAGGCATCCCCAAGACAGAGGTCGACCTTAGGGAAGATCTGTGTGGTTACCTGAGTTTCGACAAACATGGCCATGTCCATAAACATCTCATGCAGCTCCCGTATGCTGGTCTCCAGTTTCATGATATCCTTGTGACGCGACTCAATTTCATTGAGAGCTTGTCTTGTGATCTGTGAATCTGATATAATCTTCACGAAGCACATGTAAGAGAAAACGCCAATGAGGCCGTGAGTGGTTGAAAGGTGAGGCAAACAGCAGGTATTGAAAACGTGCCGCACTCACGTCGGAGGTGAAGATGGAAGGGTTCCCGCTCTCCAGCATGTCCTCGAGCTCATCATCGGTGGTGGCTCTGCCGGCTACAAGGTGGGTGGGGCAAGATCCACTCAGAATGGTTTGAGAGAGAACTTCGCCAACCTCAGGTTCACAACCAAAATCTAAGTAAGTTGTTAAGATTTTCTAATATCCTTTTCTTAGGTAACAATAAATGGTGAGAAAAATTAACGTAAGACTAAGAGCTAGGAAGAACTGAAAACCCCCGGGAAGAACCTAATAGTGTTTTCATAGAGGATTAGACCGATTTGATTGCTCTCCAAACCAAAGCCAAAGATGTGTACATGAACACAAAAACATCTAGCACTAAGTGGTCACCACGTCTGACGTCCAAAGATTACCAGGCATATGAAGAAGCAGGGAGACACAACTCCTAATGAGGAGAAAAGTCAGCTATTCAAAACAGACAGAGAATACACAGAGATGCACACTCACAGACAAGGGTTTAAACAGTTACAACCCCCTAATGTTCAGTTAAGTAGAACCATGGAAGATATTAAACAAACAAACAAATCCACAATGCAGATAGAACCTCTGGAAATGAAAACTATCATATCTGAGAGTAAAAACACACTTGAAAGGATTAAAGGCAGATTAGAAAAGGGAGAGGTAAGATTCATGATGCATCTTCTAACCCTCAGAAGTATGCTCGTGAGCTGTGGGACAACTCCAGGCAGCCTAGCACACCCGGGATTCTCATGCAGACGGAGGTGTCCAGAACTGTGAAGGGTCTGAGCGGTGCCCTACTCACATGCTGACAAGTCACAGCTGAGGACCCCCGAGCTTACGGAGCCCAGATCTCTCACAGTGGGGAGGGCACAGGCCTGACAGGCCGTCAGTTCGCAAGCACACTGCCTCCTGCCCCACAGGAAGATCCCCTCTACCCCCCCAGGCTATCTGCTATCACAACATCCCGGAAAAGTCCATCGGGAACAATCGGGCATCGGTGTCTCTGCCCTGTAAGACACACAGACCCGTGGAGAACTCTCTCTCAACCCAGGGCAACAGGGCGTGGGGCCACAGAGGAAAATGTGTGAGGACATGATGTCCCCAGATTTTCCACGCTGGATGAGAACTCTGGTGATAGGCAACGAGAAGTAATTTCAAGTCCACTCACCCAGAATTTCCTCAAAGATTCAAAGTGAGCAATGAGGGTTGGTTCAAAGAGCAGCAAGTTATGAAAGGCATCTAGGTTTCTAAGACTGCTAAAAACAGGGATGGAATTGCTTTTGGGAAGTTAAAGTGCTCTACGGTGCCATTAAGGAAGAAGAGCGTGTTTCTAACTCACGTGAAATCTCCAGTCACTCACTTATCTCCAGCTGACGCTGTATGCGCCCTTTGCTTCGCTCCCGAAACAGAGTCTGTGCCTCATTGTATTCTGTCATGACGTCCACAAACTTCCGTGAGAGCACCGAATGCTAACAACACAGAAAGGTCAGAGTAACCATGTGGTCACCTCTAACGAAGCCACATCAGCCACCCACTCCTCCTCCAGGTGGGAAATCGGGCCGCAGCTCTGCCTTGTCCCATTCATGCAGAAGCCTCTTCCGTCCGCACAGTAACGATACTACTGCAGTACCGTGTCTCCACTGTAAACGGAGAAAGGCCCAACTGAAGAGTGCTGGCCACAGGCTCGAGGAGTAAGATGGGGATCGGGTCTGAAACCCAGGCAGGCTGGCCCTAGAGCTGTCACGCTCAGGCGCCACTCTGTCAGATAGAAGCCAGGACTCACCCTGAGCCTTGCTACGCCATCAGCTACGCCACGAGGGCCCGACCCCCAACACTGACACAATTTGGATGATTTACTGCTCTTCAGACTCACTCTGCTGACGGGCTGGACGCAGTTTGGTTTTTGTTTTGTTTTGGTTTTCAATTGTGATTTGGGTGAAAATTTACAGAGAAAATTTACTTTCCATACAGCAGGTCACATACACTTTGTCTCATGACAATGACTACAATTTACCCCAATGCAACAGCTCCCCTCCTACTTCCTCCTGATAGTTACCTCTTCCCTGTGTCTGTCTATCCCTCCATGCACCTCTGCCCTGAGCTGTCTCCCTGTGCACAAACAGCCCTTCTTTCCCCCATGATTGTTCTCTCCAAGGAGTGTATCTACCTCAGGTAAATGTCCAGCTCATATGCCTATCTTTTGTCTGGCCGGAAGCCACAAGTGTGGGTTCAATTCCAGACCTGAAGGGCAGCTAGGGACCATAGTCTCAGTGGTTCCACCAGGCTCTATCGGACCAACAAACCTGGGCCCCCTCTTTTTTATTCCCCCAAATGATTCTGAGTTTTTTAAGGCAGTTTTTTAATTCGTACTACAGAGATGTTGTCTAAACACCTGCTGATCTGTTCCCGTAAAGAACTGTTGTTGTTGTTGTTATGTGCCATCAAATTGGCCCCGACTCATAGCGACCCCTCCTTGGGTTTCCGAGGCAGTATCACTACGGAAGTAGATTGCCCAACCTTCCTTCTGAGGAGCGGCTGGTGGGTTTGAACCGCCAGCCTTCTGGTTAGCATTGGTCAAGTGCCTTAGTCATTATGCCACCAGAGCTCCTCCGTAAAGAATACAGCCTAGAAAGCCCTAAGGGACAGTTCCACTCTACTGTCTCATAAGGTCACTAGTAGTCCAATCGGCCTGACAGCACCTGACAATAACAAGGGTCTCTGAACACTGCGTCCTTCTCATAAGAAATGTCATGCAGACGCGGTCTATGACACTGCGTCCTTCTCATGAGAAATGTCGTGCAGACGCGGTCTGTGAACACTGCATCCTTTTCATCAGAAATGTCGTGCAGACGCGCATGACAGCACAGGCAGACTTATTGTGAGTGTGGCTCTCATCCTTGGCTCTAATACTTCTGTCCCAAGGCTGCTCGGCAAACCTGGGTCCGTCGTATGCGAAGATCCACAGATGTCCGGTTACCACTCTCATCCTGATCAAAACTCTGTTCGATGGCTAGGGACAAACAGGAAAGAATTACTTTTTAAATTTAAAACAAAAAGATTTTCAGCCCAAACCTCAAATTGCTTTTCTGTCTTATCTTTGAACTGTACCTCTTCATAATGTTAATGAACAGGTGACCTTTCCAGAGAAGCCAGTACGAAGATTCTCCATCAAGAGGGGATGGTGCTTCCCTCTCACTCTGCCCGTCTCTGTCCACACATGTACAGTGGGCATGCGCGCATGCATGCTATGTATGTGTGCACACGTGTTATATGTGTGTGTGTATCTGCTTACAGGAGGCAGCAAGGAAAAGACCACCCATAAATGTCTGAGAAAGGGTCACCAGCTGAGGGAAGGGGGACCAGGGGCAGAGGCAGGGGAGAGGCTAGATCTCTTTGGCGACCTTGTTTCATAGATTTGACTTGGAATGATGTAAATACTTGATATAACTAGAAAGCAAAATTAGTGTTTAAAAACGCAATCCCAAAATATCAAAAACAAAACGGAACAGATACACCACACTGTGGATCAAGGTGGTAACATAATTACACAAAGCAGAACGACGCAAAGTGATTTCAAAACCCAGTAATTTGGAGGGGAGGGGAGGGAAAACTGCTAGATAGATCAAAGTATTAATTTGGGTGAAGGGAAAAGCAATATACTGAAAGCAAGCGACCAGCACAAGGACACTAAGGAAAAGGAAGAGACAGAGGTACACAGAGGGACAGACAACAAGAAGA